AATAGAAAAATTTTATAATAGTGCATATTATTTATTATATAAATATGTATATAAATGAGTTTCTAGAATCTAATATCATCATAATTTTAGCTAATTTTTCCACTCTATTCTATTCATGCATATTTCTTCCTTGATGCTAATTCCTCCATCATTTTTCATATTTTCTTCCCAAATATTTGTCAGTCTTCATCTCTTTGCCTTTGTAGTTTTTGTTCCATAGCTATCTTTGGCAATTTTTATTCTGTAATTCTTCTTTTTATTTTATTAATAATTGATTCCTTTATGTTAAATTATTTGTTACAGTTTTTTATTTTGATTTTGTTCATATATAATATTATGCTTGAATGTACTTAGTCTTTTTTCTTCTGCTTTTGATATTCACATTTTAGCTCCATATTATATGCTTTTATCATAGTATTGTACAGTACTGTACATATATTCCCATATATATATAGAGGAGAGAGATTTTGACCTCCATTCAGCCTTATAAATTGCTTTCTCTGTTTTATCCTGTTTTCTATCTCTCAATAATCTCTCCACATGACTTAATTTTCCACCCCTAAATATTTGTATATTTATAATGGTCACATACTATAGAAGTTGTACAGTATTAATTTTTATACTACTGTTTATATCTCTCACACAAATATGTGTTTCCCATCTTTGTAGCTAATCCTTTCACATACTTGCATTGAAGTGCATTTGAAAGAGATTGTGCAGAAGTTAATTTACAACATGGGCTAGTCTCTACAAAGTCTTTGTTGGTAACCAGTGATTCTTCTGTAGATTTGATGTCTTTATTATCCTGTTTATCAGTTTCATCTTTCTTAAAATAACTAAAGAATGTCATTTTCTGGCTTAGCTGTAAAGCATAATTTAATATATATATATATAATATCAATGATACATTAAATATGGACTAATTACTGATTTGTGTACTATTAGTGCCTAGTTCTATTTGTGGGAAATACAGTACTTATAGTACACAAAAAAATTTCCAAGCAGGAAAATGTCATATAAAGACCTAGGCAAAAAATAAATTGTGTAAGTGTGAACTTCATAAAACTGAAACAAGAAATAAAGAAAATCTTATATATATAATACAGAAGATATGAAAGCATCTTCACTTCTGCTTTTCCAACACCAGGAATTAACAGTCTTCCTTTGCAGAGATGACCTTTTATTGTAGGCTATGACTCTGTCACAATATGCAAAACAGTTAAACATGTTCACTGATGACAAGCCATAAACTCTTGTAAAAATTGTATACTTAATTTTAAAATGGCAGATGGCATATTTACAACATATATAAAATACAGAAGATACGAAAAAAGAAGTGAAGACATTTTTGTATCTTCTATATTTTATATATATTGTAAATATGCCATCTGCCATTTTAAAATTAAAGAAAATCTTATTACATTGATTCTGTTTCTTCTGTTCTGTTACATTGATTCTGTTTCTGTTTCATTGATTGATTCTGTTAAAATCTTATACATTGATTCTGTTTTCTAAAAATATGGAATGTCCAGAATAATATCTACTAATGGTGCCTACAAAAGTATTTCAGAATTCCAAAATGGATAATAGTACAGTAGAGCATTGATTATCCGAAAGAATTCCAGTCGGCAAATTTAAATTTTCGCCAGTGCTGTGGCGCTGCAATCTTTGGCTATGTCTTGGGCTACTCAAATATTTTACGTTTTTGATACTAAATTAACTTCTGAAGTATAATTTTTTATTCTTTTTATATTTTTCAATATATTTATTTTGTTTGTACAAAATAAAAAAATAATTTTNACATAAAAGTCAAGGAACTATAACTGTATGTGCAACCCTTTGTGAGATATTTGACTCCAAAGATCAGTTTTTAACAAGTATCAGTATACTGCCTATTCTCAATGCTCCACGTTATAAAGGCTCACTATCGTTTGCCTTGACCAACACTCTGCATATAGTTGTGTGCTTCATTGCTTGCTATTGCTCACACTTCAGTTCTCAGGTGGGGGCAAACCTCCACATCCCCTAAAACTATATAACATGAAGTATTCCATGAACAGTTAAGTGGGCTACTCAAAGCTAGCATAGCGTGTAAGCTAAATAGTTAAAAGCAACTTACGATCTTGCATGACCCGTTTTGGGGGATGTATCTTATGAAGAGTTGCTTGTAGAGGTCTGGTTCCTTTGACTTTTTGCTCCTATAGATATGCTCTACAGCTCTGATAAGGTCCCAAATGTCTTATTCAGAGCTTGAATTGAGCTCATCAGGTTGCTTGTTAAACATGTGATACTTATTGGAGTACATAACAGGGCTGCAGAGTCAGTAAAAAACACTCAACTCTGCTCCTGATAATTTTAGTAGACCAACTCCAACTCCTGACTATGGCAAAATTAAATACCAAGTCATTTTATGGGGAGCAGAGATGCTCATAGGGAGGTACCCTACTCTGAACTCTGAAAGGAGTCTGGGGTGTTTACCCAAATACTTTTATAGTTAGTATTTTTAATATTTTACTTAAATTAATATTTATTTGTATAAAAAAAATTAATTTTTAACAAATGCTTAATAAGAGGAGAAAAGGGGTGATAAAATTCTACATCTACATATATTCAACATTTGCACTTCAATTTCACCCTTCCAGAAGAGTTAGTCCAACTAAACAGTGTGTGATTTAGCTAGCTACTTCAGCCTCTTGTTCAGAAAAGAAAAATTTGTATTCTGATCAATTAGTCTGGCTCATTCAGAAAAATAGAGTACTTATTTAGAGCAGGGATAATAAAGGAATAATTCAAAAATATTCAAATTCAATTGGGTCAAAATAATACAGTGAGTGATCGGTTAACGAACATAATCTTTTCCAAGGCTTTGTTTGCTATCCAAATTGTTCGTTAATTGATTATAATTATTGATTTACCATATGTTTTTATGGGAATATGATTAATTCATTCTGGAGACCACCAAAAATAAAAAAATATATACTTTCTTACTATGTTTATACATTCTTGCATATATACATATGCATATATATACATATATACAGTCTTGCATTTTTATTAGTCATGTTTTTTTCTGTTTGTGGGGGTTAAAGAATCTGTCTAATGTCGATTGCTTTTCTATCTTCTTCAGGATTTTTCAGAAGTAATTAATTAATAGTATTTTAATTGTAGAGATCCCTAAGCCTATTAAACTCAACCTAGTTTGGATGCTATTTTAAGACCGTTGTTCTGACATCCTCCTACTTCTTCAAAAAAAATGTTTAATAGCAGATATTGACATTAATTCTTTTTTTCAGAAGAAAACATATCTCACCAAGTTTCTTGGTATTCTTCTGTCATCAGATCCGTTTCAGGTTCCATTATGAGCTCTTTAATGTTCTTTATTTCTCATAAGGAGACCCTACAGCTTTGGGGAAACGGATTTTGATGATCTTTGGTGTAGAGGTAGTACACCATGTGAGTGTACTACCTGTAAAATACTAAAATGCAACANTATTTATTTTGTTTGTACAAAATAAAAAAATAACTTTTAACGATACAATAGTCTTTGTTAGGCTTAACATCAACGAAAATTCAATGTGAAGCGACACGCAACGGAGAAAAATTTCAACATGGGATAAATTAATATATTTTTTTGTACAAAATCGGATATCCGAAATATCGATTTTCCGAACAACCCCAGTCCCCAATTGATTCGGATAATCGACGCTCTACTGTATAATTAATACAAATTACAGGTAGTTCCTGATTTATTGATAGAATCCTGGAATAGAACTTCATTATAAGTTGAATATAAAAAATGGCAATAATGAGATACAGTTTAAAATACTATGCCTAAGCCTACATAATAATATATATGTATATGGAGGGTAAAAAAATAAACATTGCACCAGGCTATATCATACTTTTATTTCATAACTAAATGCAATTGCGTTGGTAGAGGTAATCAGTAGTGGACTATTCATTGGTTTGATTGCATGCATCCCAACCATCCTTTGCATGGAGCAAATCCTGTTTTAGATCTTAAGAAAGATACTTTAAATTACAAAGTTGCAGATCAAGCTCATTACTGAATGTTTCTTGCCCAGTTAAATTACTCAAAGGAGAAACAACTATAAACCACCAAAAATGAGTGATAATTGAGTGCTCCAGAACATGAAGAGAAGTTTCACATTGTTTTTACCATTAATTTTTATTTAATTTATTATTAATAATTCACTTTAACCTTATTATAAAATTAAAATTAGAATGATAATTTCAGACCAAGCAGTTTTTCAGAAAGTTGTCTTTTTTGAAGTAAACTTAAAGTTACAATGAAACATGAACAAACTTACCAGTTAATGCTATATGTAGTGTGTTTATTGGCTGTTATGGTATTACATTTAACATTTTATAATTTTACCATTGGTATTAGAATGTGTACTAATTATTTGGACTCAAATAATTTTTTTTTAATGTTACTTGGCTATAATAAGTATGGGTGATTTTAAGTCAAAGACTGACTATATTAGCTGGTTATATAATATCTTATGCTCAATTCCTAACAGTTTATGCATCTTTTTAAAAGTTAAATATTGGTAGATATTCAGAAATTTTCTAAAATACTGTAGAAATAAAATGCAAACAGAACAGTTTGCAGTTTATTTTTGCTTACAACAATAGAATTTATGGCATTTTCTATTATAAAATGTTTATTAAGTTTTCTGATTAATAAAATTTTAAATACTGGGAATATTTACTGCTAAAGCCAAATTTTACTTTGGAATGTATTAAAATGCAACTCTAATTTCAAAATTCAAATAATGAGAATATACAGCAGTATATTATTAATATCAATCTGCCAGATTGTATTGGGCTATATTAGGCCCAATACAATCCAGCAGATCATTTGGCATTAATCAAGAATCAGGTTATTTAATGTTTATAAATATATTTTTACATTACTGTCAATATCACAGATTACTATATAATAATTATTTAAAAACTTATTTTTTTTTTTTTAGATATGGAAACTGAAACTCCTCCTGCTTTACCACCTAAAAGTAAATGGTCAACTGATATAGCAAAAAATAAACAGAATAAAAGTGATATTGCATCTTCTCCAACACTTCTACCAGATTTCAATGTCATTCCTACTAATGAAAATGAAAAAGAAACTGTGAGTAGATATGCTAATGTATCAGATTTCAAACCAATCCCAGCACCAAGAAATTCAATACGTCCAGTATCAGAGATTAGAACATACAGTTCACCACAAAAATCCACAGCACATAATAGTTTAATAAATTTATCTTCTGGAATTCCTAATCCAACATATTTTTCTATGCCAGTGAAAGATGATGCTGTTTGTAATAACTTTTCTGAATGTAAAGGATCATATAAAAGTACTAGTACAAAAAGTGTTTGTAGCGATACAGATTCTATCCGTTATTTAGAAACAACTAAACCAAAACTAACAAAAAGTTCCAGTCTTAAAGAAAAATGGAAACCACTGCTGAAAATTGGACAGCATACTTTAACAGGCAAAAAATTAGAAAAATCAAAAAGTAAAAGTTTGGATCATGAATCTGGAGATCATGTATATGAACCATATGACTTTCATTGTAATAAAACTCACACACACAGTTATGAGGAAATAGCAGATCCTTATGAACAGAAGTGTGACATTTTTGATCTTGTTACTTTTAAATCGCCTCTGTATGGAACTTGGATAAAATCAGATTCTGTTAAACAGATTGAATTAGAGACAGATTCAGTAAAATACAATAGTTTAAGTAAAGAAACAGTAGAGACTTCAGAGTATGATATGCCATTGACACTTAATGTACAGAGTAAAGATTATAATTGTCCATTAATATTGAAAATAGAAGGGACAAAAAAAGATGAATGTTTATCAGAAGATATTGAGTGCAATACTATTTATGATATACCATTGCCAGAAATTCCTCCTCCATCTTATCCACCTCCACCATTACCTATTAATATTTCAAATGAAAAAACAGATGTAACATTATCTCAACCACCTGTTCTTCCTCCAAGACAACAAGTTTTGCCAACTTTTCCATTTCCAGTTTCAACTGTATCTTCAGAAATAAAACAGAATTCACCTCCTATTCCTGCAAGAAGTCCAATAAGTAGCAATAAAATTCAATCTGATCTCATTTCAATCACAGATACTAAGAAACCATTAATGCCAGTTCGTCCTGCACCTCCTGTACCTAGGAGCTCAACATCTAGTTCTGTTCCACCTATACCAAATAAAACTCATCCATTTAATCAATTATCACCACCAATGAGTATAAATGTGATTAAAGATTGTAAAAAGTATGATTTAAATCAATATGATGATAAATTCACTGCATTTTCTAGTACTTCTAGAAGTGAATTTTCTGAATCATCAAATTCTAACATACTAAATTTCAGTGATAAAAGTTTATATCATTCTGGTTACTTGTTTAAAACTGGAAGCAATAGAAAAGGTATTATTTTTTATTTATCTATTATGATTATAAATGTCAGTAAAGCAAAACTATAATTAAATAATGTTTTATTGCTAATGTATATTCATAAATATATTATTATCTAAGCATTTTAAAAATGTTAGAACTTTTTAAAAATACAGTAGAATTCTGATTATCTGAATTGATAAATGGCAAAAATTTGGATAGTTAGATTAAGGAAAAAAATTATTATCCACAAAAAACACTATCCTAATAATGACATCAAGTTTTGTGGACTTTCATGACTGTTGTAATGTATTCATGACAGTTTTCTTTTCTAATTGCTATTTTTTCACATCATAATATCCTTCTTGACTGCAATTACAGACAAGATATTTTCATTTACTTGCCATCATAAATTATTTAACAGCCATAAAAAAAAGAATAGAATGAGTTTGAAAATAAAACAGCACAACCAAACACTAAGACAATAATGAAACTAGGTACATACTGGAATAGACAAGTCCAATGATTGTGGCTTGTGAGCACTAAGATTGGCTTTACTTTATTGCTAGACTTATTACACCATCACAGGACATCAAATTAGGTTTAGAAAAATGCTATTTTATTTTCAGAATGCATTTCAGACATGGAGTCCCTCATCAGCTTTTTTGCTACAAAATTAATAGGAGGTTAACAATTTTTAAAAGTACCGTAATTGACAGGAATGAAAAAAGGATGTAGACTTACATTTAACATATTGATTCAATGTTTTGAACATTAAAAGATTAAACATGCAATAAAACAAAAAAAAATTTCATTAAAAAATGGTAGTGCTGATACAATAACACAATAATAAGCTGAGGTGCTGGTAAAACAGTAAAGTATTAAAAAAATATTTACATTGTTAAAACAAAATAATAAGCAGATTCACAGTAACATGAATAGAGTAACAAGATGATTTGAAGTACATTCCAGAATAGCCGTCACCCTCTCCCCTATCCATTTTCACACTTCTCCCCTCCCCCCATGCCCCCTCTGGTCAAATATGCGTACCACGATTTGTGTAGTTTTTGGCCGGAATTATTATTCATGATTTTCTCTTCGTTTTTTATTATTTCTAAGTATTCATACCATCTTCTTTTATAAGTATTTTGACAGTATCCTTTACAATCTGACAGCCTTCGTTATTACAGTGGGCAGCTACAGCTGAGTTATCATTATTGTGTGCTTTGGTAAAGATATATTTTTTAAAACGAACTTTTAATTCCCTACTAGTTTCACCAATATAAGATTTGGATGTGGTGCAGTTGCATTCAAATTTGTAGACAATGTTTTTTTGGTCCCATGTGTTAGCTTTACTGTTAGGTACGTTTATTTTCTTATGTAAGCTGTTTCGATGTTCGGGTACCAAAATGATACCATAATTAATTAATTTACTTTTAATTCTTTCAAAAATATTCATAACGTAAGGGATTTTAAAAAATTTATAAGCTGTGTTGTCAATTGGTTGTTTGTGTGTATTAACATTTTTATTAATAAACTAGTTACTGATTATGCGCTTGCTATAATTGTTCATTAAATACATTTTTATGATGTCTTTAATTTCATTAGAAGCGATAGAGTAATTTAGCATCTAGCGGTAAAGTAAAGCCAATCTTAATGCTCACAAGCCATTCAGAAGACTAGACAAGAAGTGTATCATAGTATCCAATGATTGTGTTAACTGATTCAGAATGGAGGGAGTATGCATCAAACTAGTTTTTTATTCCTTGGTTGCAGTGATTTGGTTAATTGGAGTTCAGATACTGATGTTCTATTGTATTTTAAAACAATTTAAATCATTTATAAATTAAATTCAATATTGAAAGAGCAGAAGATATTTTTGAATTGATATTATTGTCATATCTGATCATATTTGCTGATTATCTATTATTTCTAATTTATTTTGTTTAAAACAAGTTAGATTATATATTCAATAACTAATTTTTCAATGAAAATATAGATAAAAAATAAATTTCATATGCATGGCAAGTGCACTTCAATCAGATCTTAACACCCTACTCCCACCCATTCACACCTTTGCACTTTTAATTTGGTTTAATCATATTTATTATCTTTTCAAATTGTGCAGAAATTTTTTATAATCAGTTCAAATTTTAATGGTATAAACTTCAATTCCAAAGACATTTTGTTTGATAAGTGCCATTATAGAACTTTTATCTTTAAACCTGATGCGCAGACCTCAAGAGGCTGAAAATATTGTATTTCATTAAAAAATTGTTACTGGAAGGATATAGATTTTTTGTTTTGTATTTTGTATTATTTAAATAAATCACTGGAACTGAAATCAAAGATTTTTGTTAATGAAACTAAATATTTTTCATTATTTTAGAATTTCTTCAACGGTGGTGTATACTAGACAATAAACGTTTTAGTTACTATATCAATGAGAAAGTGAGTAAATAAAATAAATTGTTTACAAAATAAATTCTGACTTTTGCATTCATATTCTAAATGTTTATTTTTATAGGAAAGTTCACTTCGGGATAGTATTGATGTAAAGCATATGGTTGCAATAGCAATTTGTTCTCAAGAAAAACACAGGTAAAAATTTTTTAAAATTAATTTAAATTTGCTTCCGCAAATGAAGGTTAGAAAAAATAAGGAATTTATTATTAATGATAATTATTAATTAATTTTGTTTTCTTTTTCTATATCTTTGATGCAAAATTTTTGAAAAGAATAAAATTTAAAAAAAGTTAAAAACATACAGTTAAAAAATTAAATAACAGAATTAATCAACTGTACATCTGTTATTTATTTCTAACAATTCATATTTTTCTGAAGAAGAAATTGCTGAAAACTATTTAGCTTGATATTTAAATCCAAAAACTTTAACTGCAAATAACAAAAAGTAAAACTATGATATGCTTCTTGTCTAGTCTTCTGAATGGCTTGTGAGCACTAAGATTGGCTTTACTTTAAGATTGGTGGTGTAATAAGTCTAGCGGTAAGTGTTTTTCTAAATCTAATTTGATGTCCTGTGGTGGTGTAATAAGTCTAGCGGTAAAGTAAAGCCAATCTTAGTGCTCACAAGCCAAAAAGTAAAACTGTTTAGCTAAGATATAAGATTAGAATTAGAAAGCTGTTTAAGTAAATTTATGTGTGTGTATATGGGGGGCATCTGTGAAATATATGCAATACAGGCAACTATGTTAATTTGGCAGATTACATTTAAAGTTATTTCCATAAAACAAATATTTCTTTAAAGTAAATTACAGCTTTTTTTCATTGCTATGCATACAAAAGCATAGAAACATATTTACACTATCATTTATTAAGTGCCAATAGCACTAGACAACAAACAATGCAAAAAGTAAAAAAAATTAATTGAAATTCTGTTAACCTCCTTAAGACAAGATAAGCACTGAAAATAATAAAAACATGCATATTATTGAAAAGTGTCAAATTAGTAGAGCACTCTAAAGCAAAATACTTTGAGGTATGCCTGTAATAATTAAATATATCAAGGATTATAAAAATTAACATATTTTTAATTATTACAATTTTAATAGTGTACTGTAAATTTAAAAAAATTAATGTGTTGTTTGTTGTTAATATGCAAATTTGAAAATCAGAATTATAATAAAAACAAAACTATAGAAATTGCAAACATATATGTGTTTGTAATTATTTTAATAATTTTTTTTAATTAAAGAATTGTTTTATAAGAAATAAAATCAGAAATGGTGACATTGTTATTAGAGTTAATTGATCTGACTCATTTCTTTTTCAATTTATTATGATTATTATTTAATTGAATGAATCATTAATTTGGTTTTGTGTTAAAAAATCCATTTAATTAAAATTTAATAGATTTTTTTTAATATTTATCTATTTCTGAAATGTTAAGTTATTTATTTATTTTAGATTAAATTAATCTATAAAAATAAATTTTATTTAAATCTATATATGTAATTAATTTTTGAAATGACAGTAAAATATGAAATTTAGTAATATACATATATTTATTCTTCACTAAAATCAGTTTAATATTTTTACACTGAAATGAGATAAATTAATTTTTTCATAATTATGTTATGTTGTTTTAATAATTTATTATAATTCTGTTATACATTTTTATTATATATTTTATTAATTCATTTTCTTTTGATATTTATTGAAAACAGCAATTAACTGTAGGAGAATGCTGGTAGCTGTCTGAATATATAAAAGTTATTATAATTTAATTATTATGAAGTTGTTTTAAATAACTGTAATGCATGATCTGAAAACAAATTATTTTTTAGTTTTCTACTGAATTTTTTTTTTTATTGACTTTGAATAGATGCTTCTGTGTTTATATTTTATTTAATCTGTAATAGAAGTAAAAGTTGTTTTGTGATTTGTGATTTGATTAATTTTTAACAACCACTTCTACATTGATTAATTATTAATTAATCAAAAATGACATGGGCAGAAGTAATAAAAAATAAAAATAAAACTGTAGTTATGAACAGAAGGGTAGATGAAGGTTGATTTAAGCAATGAGAGTTTGAATGTTGAGTTATGAAATCAGAAGATCTTTAACGCACTTATAAACTTTGTCGAGTCAGCAAAGGCTCTGGACCTGCAACACGACAATGAGTAAGAACATCGTCATCTAGTTCAACATGTGTATTAGGTATAGCTACTTGTGTGTATTTGAGTTACAACTCTATCCGCCAAGCAGTATTTCCTGTAAACCTAATTATAATATTCACCATTTTGATATCAAGAATGTTAATTTTATGGTACTAAGCCAGGTAATGTCTACTTTGTGTTAAGGAACTTATAGTTGCGTTTTTATGTACGGACCTAAAAATCTGTGCCTCTCTTGTTTTCTTTTGTAAATATTATTTCCATATGTAACCTGTTTATGTTTTAAATAATGTTCCCGGTGCGGCTCTTGANCCCCATTGAGAAACTGCTCTAGTTTATCAAGGATTTGTTGCAATTTGGCAGCCTTGAAACACAGTATCATAATGCATGTGAGAAGTATCACAGAGGATTGTTGGCTGTTGAACATATACCTACAGAATGGAGATCAGATTGAACAATATTTCCTCCATTGCCAAAGTCTCTTTATAGCATGCACATCTTATACAAATAAAATGTCTGTTCCTTGCAGTGCCTAAAGTGCCACAGTAGGGAGTTTTGGTGCCAATATTTTTTAAAGAAATATCCCCCATGTTTTGAAATGCATCGTACCAGATTTGGTTGTATTTGAACTGTTAGATGTCTCTCCAGTGAGTGCTGTATAGAAGCACTTTAATTATGATCACCTGAAATATACTGTATTTTAGTACAATAAAAGTATTTTTCAGATTGTATCAATAGTTAACAAACTTGAAAAATGTATGTTTTTCAAGAACATAAAATTAACAATAATGATTTAGATCAGGGGTCACCAAACTTTTTTCACAGCAGGCCACATAACTGCGAAAATGACAAGCATGAGCCGCATAACCATTTTGTTCAATACGGTACACTGAATACACGAAAAATAAAGACAACCAACATATTTATTTATCAATACACAAACACGATGACTGCAGCAAGCTCATAATGGCTTTTCTTAGAAACTCCATTGCAGATACTTACACAAAAAGCATTCTGAAATCCAAAGTTGTCGAAGTTTTTTTCACCGATTTTCCTAAAAATTATATTACTCTCAGATGCAAAAATCAGATTAGACAAATTTTGGCATTTTTACATAAATACATATTGTATCAATATATACTGTATGTATAGTTGAGCAGGGCTGTGGAGTTGGAGTCGGAAAAAATGTGTCGACTCCAACTCCTGCATTTTAAATTTACTTTAGTTTTTTTATTTAAATGAAAGAAAATTTATATACAGTGGGTGATTGGTTAACAAACAAATTGGATAATGAACACTTTTGCAAAAGATTTTTATGTTTGTTTAGAAACAATTCTTTTATAGTATTCGCGAGACTGTCAGTCAAGCACTCGCATTGGTTTTTATTTTCAAAAGGTGAGAGTATAATAGCAAAGGTAGAGAGTGAGCAGAAGATGTCTGATGTCGCTGGGCAGTATGGTTTGAACAGGTCTACAGTAGGCTGAAGTTCAATCTTATCCAAGAAAGATACTGTATAATCAAGAAGACTCAAGCAGCTAAAGGAGTAACAAAAAATCACATCTGACAAGGAGACCCTACGGCTTTGGGGAAACGGATTTTGATGATCTTTGGTGTAGAGGTAGTACACCATGTGAGTGTACTACCTGTAAAATACTAAAATGCAACACTCAAATATATTTGAGAAAAACGAACTTAAAGTTTTTTTTAGCACTTTATATATAAGTATTTTGTATACTTCTGCTTGAGTGTCCTGTGGCTGATTGGTACACTCCTGACTTGTACGCTTGAGTGCGATTCCCTTCTGTATACTTTTTTCCTTTTTTTTAATTCATTAATACTTATAATGTATTTATTTATTTACTCATTCATTTATTTCTTATTATTTAATTTAATTTCTACTATTCCAAGTCTAATATTTTTACTTTTGTTGACAATAATATTATGAGCATTTACTTTTCGAAAATAATTTAATTGCAACAATTATAAATTTTTTTCATTCAACACATCCAATGTATTATTGTATAATTCTGTGTCTATCAGCATAGCATTTTCAGATAGTTTATCAGAAGATGTTGTTGCAATTAAATTATTTTCAAAAAGTAAACGCTCATAATACACTACTACATCTTTTAGCTGCTGCTTCGATACATCACTGTATAAAGAGTTATCATCAACAGTTTTTTGTCACAACGTGAAGAACTTGCTTCTCTTGATGGCATTTTTTTAATTATAAAATAATTTTTCAAAATCAATTTCACTGCACAAATACGTCTATTCACGTCAAAATTCAGAAACAAACTGTTAAAGAGTGAGTGAAAAAGAACTCCGATAGAAAAAATTCTCCTAGTGAGAATTAGATCGGAGGTCACCATTGGTGATAACAATTAGATGGGAAAGTTGACACATAGGTGTCAAGAATGCACTGTTATTGTCAACAAAAGTAAAAATATTAGACTTGGAATAGTAGAAATTAAATTAAATAATAAGAAATAAATGAATGAGTAAATAAATAAATACATTATAAGTATTAATGAATTAAAAAAAAGGAAAAAAGTATACAGAAGGGAATCGCACTCAAGCGTACAAGTCAGGAGTGTACCAATCAGCCACAGGACACTCAAGCAGAAGTATACAAAATACTTATATATAAAGTGCTAAAAAAACTTTAAGTTCGTTTTTCTCAAATATATTTGAGTGTTGCATTTTAGTATTTTACAGGTAGTACACTCACATGGTGTACTACCTCTACACCAAAGATCATCAAAATCCGTTTCCCCAAAGCCGTAGGGTCTCCTTGTCAGATGTGATTTTTTGTTACTCCTTTAGCTGCTTGAGTCTTCTTGATTATACAGTATCTTTCTTGGATAAGATTGAACTTCAGCCTACTGTAGACCTGTTCAAACCATACTGCCCAGCGACATCAGACATCTTCTGCTCACTCTCTACCTTTGCTATTATACTCTCACCTTTTGAAAATAAAAACCAATGCGAGTGCTTGACTGACAGTCTCGCGAATACTATAAAAGAATTGTTTCTAAACAAACATAAAAATCTTTTGCAAAAGTGTTCATTATCCAATTTGTTTGTTAACCAATCACCCACTGTATATAAATTTTCTTTCATTTAAATAAAAAAACTAAAGTAAATTTAAAATGCAGGAGTTGGAGTCGACACATTTTTTCCGACTCCAACTCCACAGCCCTGCTCAACTATACATACAGTATATATTGATACAATATGTATTTATGTAAAAATGCCAAAATTTGTCTAATCTGATTTTTGCATCTGAGAGTAATATAATTTTTAGGAAAATCGGTGAAAAAAACTTCGACAACTTTGGATTTCAGAATGCTTTTTGTGTAAGTATCTGCAATGGAGTTTCTAAGAAAAGCCATTATGAGCTTGCTGCAGTCATCGTGTTTGTGTATTGATAAATAAATATGTTGGTTGTCTTTATTTTTCGTGTATTCAGTGTACCGTATTGAACAAAATGGTTATGCGGCTCATGCTTGTCATTTTCGCAGTTATGTGGCCTGCTGTGAAAAAAGTTTGGTGACCCCTGATCTAAATCATTATTGTTAATTTTATGTTCTTGAAAAACATACATTTTTCAAGTTTGTTAACTATTGATACAATCTGAAAAATACTTTTATTGTACTAAAATACAGTATATTTCAGGTGATCATAATTAAAGTGCTTCTATACAGCACTCACTGGAGAGACATCTAACAGTTCAAATACAACCAAATCTGGTACGATGCATTTCAAAACATGGGGGATATTTCTTTAAAAAATATTGGCACCAAAACTCCCTACTGTGGCACTTTAGGCACTGCAAGGAACAGACATTTTATTTGTATAAGATGTGCATGCTATAAAGAGACTTTGGCAATGGAGGAAATATTGTTCAATCTGATCTCCATTCTGTAGGTATATGTTCAACAGCCAACAATCCTCTGTGATACTTCTCACATGCATTATGATACTGTGTTTCAAGGCTGCCAAATTGCAACAAATCCTTGATAAACTAGAGCAGTTTCTCAATGGGGGTGATATCGCCTCCCATTTTGGGGGGTGATTAGTAACAATTTATATTTTGGGGGTGAAAAACAATTTTCTATGCGATATAGTAAAACATTATATTAAGAATAATTAGATATTTTATTCGTTATATCTTACAATAATTAAACAAATAACATTATACTAGTGACTAATCTATTCAATGCAATATGAATTTGGCATTAGCCTTAGTCCTCGGCATCAGAATTTTGAAGCTTGCAGTGGGAATTCACAGTGTATAATGCTTAATTTTAATTTTGTTAATTATATCAAAATCTAATACATACTCTGAGTAAATAAATGTTTAATTTTTTACAAAGTATATAATTATCAAATAAACTAATAAACTCAACAAAATTTTTTTGAAGTGAAGTAAACTCAACTCCCAGACATTGATCATTTAGTTCAAGGAAATTAATTCTCTTCAGAGCTTGTCGAGTCAGTAGTCCTCAGCATAAATTTTTATGACAGTGAAATTCTTGAAGTGTAGCTGCAGCATTGCCATTCTTTTTAATGAAAATGTCTTCAAAATATCCTGAAATGTAATCACAGTAGATTTAGTTGCATTAGGACTGCTAAATATCTCTAAATAGTGTTAAATAAGGTATGTTAATTATGATCCTGTGTGTGTGTGTGTGTGTGTGTGTGTGAGACTGTGTGACTGTAGACACAATCTAATGCAGCTCAGTAAAACATGAAATTACTTGTAATGTATTAAAAGGTTGGTTCCTAATTTCATGTCTGTAAAATCTGATAGAAATCTTTATTCTAATATTAAAAAAAATATGAAAAATGAGATAATTCTATATCCATTACAGCAAACTATAAAAAACTTGATGCAATTAACATGAATTTACTTATAATGTATATTAATTTTTTACTTTATCATCCACATTATATTGAATCTTTTTCTTGCACATTTTTACTGCTTATAATAACTCACTTATGGAACTTAATTGCTAAACCATATGAAAAACAAAAATGAAACTTTTAATATAGCAGGGAATTAAATTACCATAAAACAAATGGTTTGGACAAATCTTCAGTAGCCATGCTTGGGTTCAGATCAGTTCTGATTCATAGCATAAAGATGAATATTGAAGGTAGTGAGAAACATAACCTAATTCTCAGCCAAATATTAAAAGTTTTGTTTTAAGTCTGGTTATTCAATTTTTAACTTTTCTATCTTCAAACCTTATATTTGTAAAAGATTGAATAAATCATTTTATGAATTAATAAAATTAAATAACTGCAAAAATATTACTAATTTAATAAAAGTAATTAAAGTTTCATAGAACAATAATTTTCACAATTTTATTTATATTATTTCATTATGGAAAACCATTCTAGTGAGTAGGAAATTAAATGATATGAAAAAGTTTCACCAAATTTAATTTATTTCTTACAGCTGCACAAATTGTCAATTAGAACTCTGTTGTTTTGAACTCAGCACAACCAAAGAAGAAGGTCGACAGTTTTTATTTGGTGCTAGGTTGCCTTCAGAACGTCAGGAATGGTTAAAATATATTTATAAAGCAATGTCACCTCTCTCCTGCCACATAGAAGAATGGTTTATTGATTTTAAGCATGCAGGTTTTGTATATCTGAAAGAGGGCACTGCTGGTCATTGGCAGACAGCATGGATTGTGCTTAAAGGACGTAATTTACTAGTTAGCCAGCTTGAAATAAATGTAATAGAAGTAGTTGATTTAAGAAAATCCATGGGTGTAGGTAAGAAAATAAAGAAACCATTTAAAATGATTTATTTTAAATTTTAGTACAAGTAAAATACTAAATAATTATCATAGATAATTACACATCATTGTGAATCCACATCATTGCATAATATTAAGAATATTAAACATTATCAGCATTAAAATCTTTCTATTTACTTGTTTTTAAGGTTAGGCATTTATTATCATTATTATTACAGTAAAAGCTCAATAAAATGGACTTCATGTTATTACAGAGCTGATTTTGGTCTGGCCAAAAGTATAGGCAAATTATAAGAACACTCATTTGTGTAACAGGTTCCTGCTACCACAGACTATTTTTCAGGTGTGCAGATCACTGTTATTATGCCCTTTTATTTCATCATAGTCATCATTTTATTTACTTTATTTACAAAAAATAATATAAAAGTCATTTCATAATAATTTTTTAGCATAGATTTTTACATTACTTTTAGTTTTTGTTTCATTTTCTGATTGACTATTTTTGTTCAGTTTTGGCTTCATTTTCTCTATGAGTGATGAGCATTAGATTTGTTTTGTAAAGCAAAGCCACAGATCATAAAAGAAAAGAAAAAGCTTTAGATTTAACACAAAAAATAGATATAATTTATCAGATTGAAGATTGAAAATCTTAAGCTGAAGTTGGTAAAGAAATGTCTTTGAATAAGCAGACAATTTCAGATATTTGGAAAACAAGAGAAAAACTAAACTGACTTTTCTTAAAACAATTCTTTAAAAAAAATGAATAAAAGTATTATTTTAATAAGTTTAATAAAAATCTAGTTTATACACTTTACAACTGAAACTTTGTCTATTATGTAATTGACTTTTATCCACACTATTGATATAGGCCTACAGTAATGTACTACAGATCAATATTACTATATACAATAGAATCCCCTTATATTCATGATAACAGATCTGCTGAAATGAATTGGTGTCTTGGCCTGGAGAAAACATCTGAAAACTGCATATGTGTTTTCCAGGTCTATTATCAAGATTTGTTCTAACATGATTCTACTGTATAGTAATGGACTCTTTAATATAGCAGACAAGTCTGTAACAAGTAATCACAATAAAACAGACTTTCATTACAATGGACCAATGTCTTCAGTCCCATGATAGTCCAAATTCAAGCTTTTACTGTATTATATTGGGTTGAATGGAAAGTTTCTGCATTTTTGAGAAAAAAACACAAGATGATTTTAAAATAATATCAGGTAACCAAATAAATAAATGTCATTTTTGAAATGTGAATAAGATGCTTATATTTTTTGTCTAAAGTAATTTTATTTATAAAGATATTCACCTTCACATTCATTATACTTTCTCAACAGGAGGGCAGTTTGAAAATGCCTTTATATATATATATATATATGATTTGAATGACTCCAAAAAAATCTTAGTGTTTGGTGGACTTCGAGGAATATTGTTCATCCTGAGTACTTGAATGTTGGTCGAACCCTCACAGCAGATTTGTACATTGAGCAGCTACAAAGAGTATGTGGCAGATTAAGGTTAAAACATCTGTCTTTGGCGACTCATTAAGGTGTTTGTTTTTACAAGAAAACACTCGCACACACATTGCAGAAATTAAAGAAACAAAATAATACATTTGGGATAGGAACTTTTACCTCATCCTTCCTATTCTGCTGACTTATCTCTATTGGATTATCACATTTTTTAACTTTGGATAATCATATGCATGGAAAACAATTTACAAATCATGCAACTAATAATAATAATAATAATAATCTTTATTTGTTGTAAAAGGCTTTCGCCTGTTACAAGGGCGTTTTCTTTTGAAAAACGCGTATTAATTTAACATCTCATATATTCTGTTCTCATCAACACTGATATATTCTATTTACTAATCTATAATTTACATTAACATTTTTTTTTTTTCCACAATTATCATTTAATAAATTGTTTAACATAGTTATATAACATGTAAATCGTGTTAGTATTAGCTCTGTCAAAAATCTTAAACATTTCCCTTTCACTATTACATTTAGCCAGCGGTCCCATCTGGAGCCTTTGTAATTTATCTTTTTCATTACAGCATTCACATATAATATGAACTCTAGATAACATTTTGGTACATTTTGGACATTTAGTTTGGGTATAGTCTATATATTTATCATTTATAATTATTCCATTTTTATTTAGCCTAATCTGTATAAAATACTTTTTGATGTTAAATAAGTTTTTCATGTTAAATCATGCAACTATAAAAGAGGAAATAACTCATTTTTAATGCTAAAAATGGTATTTTCAAACTGTGAAACCATTGAGAAAATGTACCTAAATTTGAAGGTGACTATTTTGATGAATAAAATTATTTTAAACAAAAAATACAAGTATTTTTATTCACATTTCAAAAAACAACATTATTTATTTGATTATCTGATATATTCATTATCAAAAATGTTATTTTCATCATTTGTAATTATCTTCTTCTAACATTCCACAAATTTATTGATTTCATTTGCATAAAACACTTTTTGGATTTGATTCAAAAATTGGTTATATATCTGATAAAATGGTAAGGATAGTAAGTACAGTGAAGTTCTAATATATGATTTTTCTTTATTTTAATTCATAAAAATACAAACTGAAACTGAATACAAATGAAGAAAGCTGTATAGTAGACAT